TTGGATAGACGAAGTATTTACAATGAATCTTGACCATTGAATGTGACACACCCAAAATATCAAATTTTTTTCAAAAGGAATTTTTTTGAATTTTGTTACACACCCAAGATATCAAATTTTATATCAAATGGTTATATGTAATTATGATCTCTAAATGGTCTCATTGTATAAAATTCCATATTATGTGTGCAACGACACCTTAATGAACAAGACTCTAAGTAAGGAAAAGTTATTTTTCAAAAATATTTATTTAAATCAAAATAATAATCATCAGATAATAATTTTTAAAAATTGGAAAATTAAAAGTACCATAATCATTGCTTTCACTTGACTATAAAAAATTCGAGAAGTATAAAAAACAAAGAATTCGTCTTAATTCTATGTATGCAAGGAAAACTTATTCATTAGACTATTCTAGAATTCATCCTAATTCTATGTGTGAAAAGAAACCCTGATATTTAGACTGACTTGTGCAAGAAAGATTCCAACTTTTTAAGATGAAAGAAAAAGAGTATCTTAAAGTTCTAAATCATGGAAAGTGTAGAAAGTAAAGAACCATTGCTTAATGATTATTGACAAATGAATATTTTCTTTAGTTATGGTATTGAGTGCGAGACACTGATTAGCCCTATCTACATCCAACTAGGTGTGGGTCCTGTTTGGACCTCTCCAAGGTTGGTGTAAACTCGGTATAGTGTAGGAAACTTGGACTTTGCAAGACTATCCCTCAAGGGTCTGAATATGGGCCCAGAACCCGATTAATTAGGTTTAGACCCTATCAAGTCGTGGTTGACCAAATCCAAACTTTGACCCATTTGTAGTCCTATATTTATGTAAAAAAGTAAATATATCATGGGATTGTCTGCAAAGGGAATATTTATCTTTTGTATATATTACGATCATTATTGTCCCTTAAATTTCAAAATTGATAATTGCAAGAGTGTCATTGAATAAGTATAAAGTTCCAAAAAAAAAATTCTCGTAGCTTGTGACTTACCCAAGCCATCCAATTTGACATCTGATGTGTGGGAATGATAGTGACCTCCATGTACCATTTGTAGACAATCTATGTATTAGAGAGTAAATATATTGCAGTCCAATATATAGTCATAAGACATGAAGGTGTACCACCAAAATGAACATATAGTTTGATGTAGTCTGTTGTACTTTTGTCTGATAGTTTAGTAGTACGAATTGAACTTGAGATGTAATGGCTATAGTCCATTGTACTTTTGTCTGATAGTTTAGTAGTAGGAATTAAACTTGAGATGTAATGTTGCTAACGTTAACTCCTAACCACTCAGTTCTAAGCCCAAGTCCAATGTAGGAAACTAAAAAAACATAGTGTTTAAATAGTCATAATCAAACTTCCCTAAAAAAAAAGAAAAATCTAAAACATCTTACTTTATAAAACAGAAAATGTTCTTATATCAATAATGGCGGGTTGCCAACAATATCTTAGCAGCTCCTCAACTATCAATATCAACAATGGAGAGTTAGAATTTCTAAACAGACTTTCAACTGTCTCTTGGTGATGACATGGAACGGTTAAAGAGTTTATGCATATTGTTTAGAAATCAAATGCTAACATAGTAGAAAAATCCTTGAAAACCTTTTGAAATTTGGGAAAATATCACTTAAGGCTCTTAAATACTAACATATTCAATCACATCGTTTTTTTTGTTTGTTAAGTTTAAGAAGTCCACACTCTCTGATGTACAACCCTTATCTCATGCCTTTTTTTTCTTTTCATGTTGCCCTTTTAAACTATAGTAGTTCCCAATAATACAGCAAGACTCAGGCCAATATTTATCAGTGAAAAACACCTTATGAGCTAGGTAGCTTTGAGCAACTGGACATTCTTTTACATATAATACATTTGAGTAACGTAAACATCTATGTGCTCAACCCGATAAGGATCGCTTCATAGCAATTCCTCAAATATCAATTCTGCCTCATCGAACTCCCTTAGATTATATTGGACAGTGGCAACTTGGGCTTGAATATAATCACTAAACCTGAAAATTCCTTGAAGAGAGTCACACTTTGAGACGGCTTCATTAAACATATTGAGTTTTAAATAGGCATTAGCGAGAAAAAAATATTTCATCCAGTGGTTTTTTAGGTTGAGACTGTTTAAGAATCATGCAAATACAAATGCTTAGATTTTTTTTTATTGTTTATTTTATAATTGACACTTCTATAGTTCTCCATGTATCATATGGAAAGAACCATGAGCTTAATTTGTTGGCATATGATGTAATTTCTTACTTTTTGAATAACATATATGAAAAGGTGTACACTAAGTTATGCTCGAGTCTGTTGGTGATTTTAATAAAAAAATTTCCTTATGTGCATCTAAGAAATCTCTTCCTTAAATTATTTAATACTTACTATATAATATAATTTCTTTCTTATGTGCATCTAACAAATCTCTGAAAAGACTAACCACAAGAAGGCAAGTTTGGATGAGCCATGGAGGGATTCTCTGTGCCCTTCCTGTTATCTAAGGTTAAAACTGGTTTTTAGGTGTTTTTGCATTTTCTTTCAAGGAGAACACATTGGATATTGTGAAGTACAAAATTCATTCATTTAAAGCGAAATACTTTATCATTAGATCTCCTTTGGATTCATTTAAAGCAAAATGCTTTGTTAGCCATAAGTTCATATAGAAATTTTGTTTTGTGTAGGTTGATTCAAGTATTTGATATGGGTCAATCCATTTCAGGCAGTATGTCATCTCCCACATTGTCAGATCAAGACAACATAAGGGACGACATTGAACGCGTCAAGCAAGATCACATGCTCGTAACCCCTCAAAAGAAATTTACAAATACAAAAATCAAAGAATCCCAAATTGGAATGAAGTTTGGTTATGAAGAAGATGCATGTGAATATTGCAGGGCATTTGCATTGGCACATGGGTTTGGCATTCGAAAAAGAACTACACACACTAATAAGGATGGACAAAGAATAGATAGAGAAATTAATTGCCATTGGGAAGGGTTTAGGGTTGCGAAAGATGTCGTACGTAAAGAAATATCCCTCAATCAAGGTGTGGATGAGAGGTTAAGCTATGCATAAGCTTAAATTCTACTGATGAGTGGGTAGTGACTAAGTTTATAAATGATCACAACCACGACCTTATCAGTCCAAGAAAAGCTAGACTAATTCGATCGTACCGAATAATATCGAATGCAACAAAGTTGATGATAAATTCTATGAGCTCGTCTTTGGTGAAATCTAGGAATATTTATGATATTTTTACAGAGCAAGCTGGGGGGATTGAGAATCTCCAATACTCACAAACAGATATCGAAAAAAATAGCAAATAACCATAGAAAATTGGAAGGAGAAGATGGCAATCATGCTATGTAATGGCTGAACAAAACGAAAGAATCAAATCCTTTATTTTTCTATAGGGTTAAATTAGATGAAGATGGTCATCTAATCAGTATGCTATAATCAGTATGCTATGGGTAGATGCCATGTCAAGGGTGTTGTACCATTACTTTTCAGACGCGGTGACTTATGATACGACATACAAGACGAACTTATTTGGCATTCCCTTTGCTCCCATACTTGGTGTGAATCACTGATCAGGATCATGCAATTACTACTGATCAGGATCATGCAATTACTACTGCAGTGAAACAAGTTCTAAAAGAAAATAGGTATCACTATTGTAAATGGCACATACTTGCAAAGGTGAAAGAAAAATTGTGCCATGTATTGCGTTAGCATCCCACTTTTCCAGAAATTTTTAAGAAGTATATAACAAGCCCAATTGTAGAAGAGTTTGAGACATATTGGAAATCCCTTATTGAGAAATATAATCTTCAACAAAATAAATGGTTTATTAGAATATACAATTGTCGAATGCAATGGGTTGATGCATATGTTACTGATGCACTCACAGTCGGTACGTCAACAACTCAAAGAAGTGAAGGCGTGAATAAACACTTTAAGATGTACTTAACTCCCACAACAAGCTTGTACTCTTTGTCGGAAATTACTCAAAAAGTACATGAAAAGAAGCTTTACAAAATAAGGGTGAATGACTTACAGAACATGAATTCTACTCTTGTTTTGAGGACCTCTACCTTCATAGAGGCACAAGTTTCGAAGATCTGTACACACAAAATGATGAAATTTTTTGAGGAAGAAGTTGCAGATTCCACAAATTACAAGATTGAAGCCATTGAAGACAATGACACTATTGTCACCTATAAGGTGATAAAACCTGGAAGTGGAACAAGGGTATTTGTTGTGGAATTCAACACTCATAATCAAACTGCTTCTTGCTTCTTGTACTTGCCACTTGTATGATAGGTTTGGCATTCTTTGCAAGCATGTGTTTAGAATCTTTTCGGTGAATAATATTTTTGAGATCCCATAACATTTCATACTGAATCAATGGAAAAAGGACGTGCTGAAAGGGGTTGTAGTTCCATGGGGTTATGAAACTTTTCAGCAGAAGTATCTTTTTAATATTCAACATTTCAACTATGTTCCTATGATAAACTCTTTGATATTTCAATAGTTAAACGACAGTGACTTCAAGTACCATGTCCTGCTCATATAGATGCTAATGAGATGCCCCGGATCAGAACCCATTTCCCATAACCTTTTGAGCTCTCAACTATCACTGTTCAGAAAAGGAAATGCACGAATGCCTAGTGTAAGGGGCCTATCCACGCATAACTTTGAGGCCAAAAAAATGAGAGACCTTGTTTTTTTTTAATGCAAAATGTAGTTTATTTACGACTAAGTTAGAGAAGTATACCTTACTCCTTTTTTATAAGGACAAAGAAATATGCAATATGAAATACTAAACTCAAAGCTAATATGAATATAATTACACGCTTATCAAAATTCTTTTGGGAAGTTAAACATTGTTGGTTCTCTAATAACTTTATCAATGACTCGAAGTTGGATGTCGTTGGCTCCAATATGTTGCAGTTTTGGGAGTACCGGAGATGCATATCGACACACCCATTCTATAAATTATATGATTTGCACTTAAGGTACTTCCTGTTTGGATTATGTTCTCTTCTAGATGTGTATATCTCATATTTGTGGCCACAATTTCTACAAATCTTGTCTGGATATGCCATGGTATTGCTTGTGGATGAACTTGCCATCTTCCCACCTACACCAACTAGAACACAATTTTACATCAGATTACAAGCAATTAGAACACAAATTCACAAACTAAACTAGAAGATTCAAATTACAAGCAAAGCAACTCTGCCCCATATATTTTACATCAGAGAGTATGGACTTCTTAAACTTAACAAACAAAAGAAATCGTGTGATTTTCCTAGAATACACAAAGAAAAAAAAGAAATAGTAAGCTATACCCTTACATGACCAACCCTTCTCTCTTGCCTTTTCGATCTTCTCATATCCCAAATCGACAGGCTTCTTCCCACCATAATCCGCAGCCGATGACTTATACCTAGTCATGAATAAATTCCACACTAAAAGCATGGAAAGTGTAGCTATGGCTCCTATGCCTGTACCCCAAATAAGTGCAGCATGAGTTTTGCATATTACATTTATTCTCCTTCCAAAACTTCCATTTTTCACTTCAAATGTCCTTGGATCAACTGGCATAGAATGCAAGTTCTTCCACTTGTACCCAACATCAAAGCTCCATGAGTAAATGGCACTGGCTTGAGTCGAGTTCCCATTTGAACCAGTGATACCCAACATCAAAGCTCCTGAGTCTTGCTGCATTATTGGGAACTATTATAGTTTAAAAGGGCAACATGAAAAGGCCATCTTATATTTTCGTCTGGCATTGAGATTGAACCATAAATATTTATCGACATGGTCATCTATTAGGGAGATAAAACCAAAGCCGAGAGAGAGAGAAAGAGGAGGAGCGTACCTGGTTCAGCGGTATTGCGCGCAAGAGGGTGCAACAATCTTGAGCGCGAGAGAGTGCAGCGGCAAGAAAGACCCTGGTTTTGTTGTGGTTTTGCAAAGGTTGGAGGATGAAGAGCAAGGTTTTGTTGGGCGGAGAGAGAGAGGATGAGATAGGGAAGGGCGAGGGTCTTGTAGCAAGCATAGTCACATTGAGAAAGGAAGAGGCAGGGCAAGGCGAGGGTTTTGGCGTAGGCATGTCACATTGAGAGAGGAGGAGGCAGGGTAGGGCGAGGGTTTTACCGTAGGCAGCAGGGAGAGAGAGAGAGAGAGAGAGAGAGAGAGAGAGGAGGAGGAGGAGCGAGACGAGGAGGAGAGAGAGAGAG